ATATATATATATATATATATATATATATATATATATATATATATATATATATTAAGAGCTTCAATTCAGTCACTACTTGATTTTACATAAGACCAGTTGTTGTTAGTAGATGCATTAGCACTATTCTTGTCAGAATCCGATGGATTGCAGGACTCAAGTTTATCATGTCCTCCCAGTAGGCCTGATTCAGCAGACGGTTGCCTGTCGCCCACTCGCTCCAGCAGCCGTAATGGAGAGAAAGACTGGGAGAATGGTTCCACCACATCCTCACTAACGTCTAACACAGAATACACAGGTTAAAATATTAAAATGTTTCACAATATTTATCGGCTGCAGCTCCACCTCCAGTCCACCAGAGGGAGCCTGTATATTAGGTCTAGGAGTTAGAGAGACTGTTAGCAACATTATTGCAGAGAGCTGTACTGTTATGAGGGTAACACAAAGTTTGGCGGGCTTGGTGTTGTCTTGTGTAACTGTGGGTCCTGTCCTGTTTTGTGTTTTGCATCCAGGTTCACGACCTCGTGTTTTTTCAGTTTCCAGCCTGTCTCTGGCATCTCTTGGAGATAATGACAGTGTCAACTCAGATAAGAAAACACAAAGGTAAGAAGCACTTCAAGCAGTCAGCAGAATGAGAATGTGTTTACTTGTGTTTCCCTGCAATTCTATATTTTTCTCTAGCATTACTGTACAATACTAACCCAGTATCCTTTGAATTCTCTGTATTTTTTCCTTTGTATTCTTGAATGTTCTTGCTTCTTAGAAGCAACAGCTTAGCATCTGGCAGTCTTTTCTTCTATTTGAGCTCTACTAGTGTGAGAAATAGAAGGTAGTAGTCGTAGTTGGATAAGACTCTGTGCTTCCATCTTCTGTTCAAGAAGAACATCCTGTTTTGCTTTGAGTTTGGCAGCAACACAAGGAATGATCCCATCTTTGAACAATAAAGATGGCTACTATAGTTCACCCATCACAGCTTTTTTTGTTTAATTTTGTCATTATTAAATCAGAAAATATTTAAGGTCACTAACCTTCACACTGGCACTGAATGGCACTGAAACTTCAAAAACACAAAAATAAAGCTCTGTATTTCACTTTTTACAAGAGGCTTATTTAAAGGCTTAACGTGCATTTAATATTATGTTGCTTTCTCAAATACATCACATTAAAAGTATTTTTAGTTTGATGTTGATACCAAGGAATATCTACATCTAAGCTTTGAACATACTGAACATAATTAAATGTAATGTATAAAACATGCTCGGAACTTCAGATGACAGCTCCCTCTAGAGGACTGGAGGGTGAAAAGCAGACTCCAAAGGTACAATATCTTTTATATTATGATATGACCTTACATAATACCACGTCTGTTTCTTTGCCGCAGGTCCCAAATTATATAAGGAACCCAGTGCAAAGTCAAATAAGCATATAATTCAGAATGCTTTGGCACATTGCTGTTTGGCTGGCAAAGTCAATGAGGGACAGAAAAACAAGATTTTGGAAGTAAGCATGTCCATTTTGCAATTACTACTACTATTGTTGTTTCAATTTTAATATTTAATAATATAGCTATTAAATGCAATGAATACATTATATTTTATTTAGTGAATTTTAATTTCATTGTGCATTTAATATTTTGTTGCTTTTTGAAACGCAACACATTAAAACTTATTTTATTTTTGGTGTTCCATTTGGTACTGATAAATTAAATAAAAAAATTTAATTTAAATAAAATATTTAAATTAAATTTTATTTTAAAAAGCGTGTCATGATTAAGAGTTTTTTTAATGTAGAAATTCAATTTCTTTATTTTTTCCCCATGAAATTTATATTATACATTTTATTCATTATATTTATTTGTTTTCTCAAGGAAATGGAGAAATCAGGGGCCAACAACTTCCTGATCCTGTTCCGGGATTCTGGCTGCCAGTTCCGCTCTCTCTACATGTACTGCCCCGACACAGAGGAGATCAACAAGATGGCCGGCATCGGTCCTAAAACCATCTCGCGCAAGATGATCGACGGCCTCTACAAGTACAACTCAGACAGGAAGCAGTTCAGCCAAATTCCAGCCAAGACCATGTCGGCAAGCGTCGATGCCATCACGATCCACAGCCACCTGTGGCAGACAAAAAACCAGGAACGCCGAAGAAAGTAGCGGCCGTGAAGTCCTAGTGTTTCTAAACGCTGGACGTACACAATCTCAATGCACTTGTTTGTACATAATCGAATCCTACAACACTTTTTACACTCTTCCGTCAGCTGTCGTTTGGACACACAAGATTGCGAAAATTATGCACAACTGGAATGTAAAACTCTATGGGGTGGCAAATGGATCTAACTCATGTGTCAGACACCCAAGACTGTGTGATTCAAGTTGTTTTACTGCACCGCATAAATGTTGTTTTTATTTAAATGTGCCAAAAAAAAAAAAGGAAAATAATGAAAAGTTGTCATGGATGACCTGTTATTTTAATTTGGTACACTAAAGCACTGAATGTTCTTAGTTTGTACAGAAATCTCGCACATATGTTGACGTGTGGCCTTATGTTGTTTTTTGTCTATATTTTAATCATGTTTTTATTTCATTTATTTTTGACAACTGTCCTGATATGATTGTACGGCTGCTTATGGAAAGGTTCTCACATGCATTGCTTGTGATTCTAACAGTTTAGTACTGCAAGGGAATCCTGTCATATCTAGTATACACTAACCAGTGTGCTAATGTGCAGCGAGTGGGTTAGTTTGCAGCCCGAACCCACTTTTGATGGGTTTTAACATTATCTAATGGCATTGATTCACAGCAGGATTGTGAATTCATTTCATTCCGTTCCTGTAGGTGTTTTTGCTTTTTATATACATGTATGTATGTATATATATATATATATATATATATATATTTTGGGGGTTTTTTGGACCGACTGATGGAAATGTTCAGCATAATGATTTAATCAATATTTATCTTTCATGAAAGGTCTTAAATAAGACTAGGTGTTAGAAAACCAAACCTTTCTGTTATATTGTTGGTGCGATTAAAAAAAAAATCAGGTGGATTATCTTTGATTGAATTGTTTGAACGATATTTCTATGGATGAAGATGAATAACATCATGTGCTGGAGTAATAATCATTTTCAAAATACTTTTGTACTGTTATGTATGCTTGTGGTGACTGATCTGAAGTATTTCCCTGTCCCTGGTCACGCAAAAGTATTAAAAGCAGTTTGCCAAATGATATATTTTACCGGATTATTGGAGCCATTTCCGCTTTTTTGCGACTGAGGGCTAAATCGTTTGATTGGTAAATTATTTTAAATAATAAAAATCATTTTTTGACTTGTTTGTAAAGGGTTAAGACATGCCGCGTTTTGTACACCTGGAGTCTGTGTGGCATTTTAAGATGTTACGAATCTCAGTCTGTTAGCATTCCCACTTAAGAAGCGATCATATTAGCGAAATTTTGGTGAAAAGATGAAATTTCGTTGGCAAAACAGGTCCATTGGTAACAGTGTAGCGATGAAGAAGTCAACCAAGCAGCTTTTTGTTGGTCAAAGCACTCAATATGGGTGAATCCGTTGCGAAATCTGCATGGGAAAATCCTTCACCCTCAAGCGAAATTCCCAGTATTGAAATGACTCAATTTCGCCAGCAAAAATTTGCCAAACTATGGTGGCTACATGTGACCACACCTTTAATAATTTTAAAGGGTTAGTTCACCCAAAAATGAAAATTCTGTCATTAATTACTCACCCTCATGTCGTTTCAAACCCGTAAGACCTTCGTTCATCTTCGGAACACAAATTAAGATATTTTTGATGGAATCTGAGAGCTGTCTGACCCTGCATAGACAGCAATACAACTGAAATGTTCCCAAGTCCAGAGACGTAGCAAGGAGATCTGTAAAATCATCCATGTGACATCAGTGGTTCATCCGCAATTTATACGAAGCTACGAGAATACTTTTTGTGCGCAAAAAAAAAAAACGACTTTATTCAACAATTCGTCTCCTCCGCATCACCCTGGTGCCATTTTGGAGAATATCCGCTGGACATAAACAGCGTATGCTGTTCTGTGTCAGCTGCGTCACACGGATACGCTGTTTCCGTTCAGATCAAATCACAGCAACGTAGGAAACAGATCTGGCGTGACGCAGCTGACACAGAACAGCATATGCTGTTTATGTCCAGCAGATATTCTCCAAAATGTCACCAGGGTGATGCGGAGGAGACGAATTGTTGAATAAAGTGGGTTTTTTTTTCTTTTGTGCACAAAATGTATTCTCGTAGCTTCGTATAATTGCGGATGAACCCCTGATGTCACATGGATTATTTTACAGATCTCCTTTCTACGTTTCTGGACTTGGGAACATTTCAGTTGCGTTGCTGTCTATGCATGGTCAGACAGCTCTCAGATTCCATCAAAAATATCTTAATTTGTGTTCCAAAGATGAACGGAGGTCTTGCGGGTTTAAAACGAAATGAGGGTGAGTAATTAATGACAGAATTTTCATTTTTGGGTGAACTAACCCTTTAAGGCAGAATGTGGCTGTATACGGGTAGAGGCTTTGTTGCCTGATGAAAAAACGGCCTTCCTTTTGTGCCCTGTATTTCAGTAGGAATTGTAAAAAAATTAAATTTTTGGTGCTTGCCTCTCGAAACATAAACTTGCACACCTGTTCTCCCATTCAAACATTTCTTGAGTAGTTTGAGTGATGTGTCGGTGTTTGGAATGGAAATATGTGCACAGCCCTAAATACACAGTGGCTGACATCTTATATCCATTAGAATGGTACAAGCCACAAACGAGGGTTATTTAACTGTAAATGAGCACGATAGAAAACTGTACAGTGTGTGTTCTCTAATCTCTCTAGCACGTCTTTCTCTTTTATTTTCTTTCAGGCGCTGTGCTGTCATATTGTTCAAGTAACATGTTCGATTTCAATTGCATTTAATAAATTTCGCATGGCCTCATGTGCAGCCTGCTGATTATTGTTTGACATTCCTGCATTTCCCTGATAGCACAAGTACATCACGGAGACGACTATTTGACTTTTGCATTTACATCTGTAAGATGTATTTTTTAGAGTGTTTGCTCATCTGCAATACGTCTGTTGGACGTTTCTTATCAGATGTAGAAGACGATCAGAAAATGTCTTTAAGATGTTTATGATTTCGAATGTATGTAAACCTGACGTCTATCAGATGTTTGTACACAGCAGATGCTTCCAGATAAAGCGATCTTTAACAGACATCTTGCAGATGTACGTGTGCTATCTGGGTTGTCATGAAATTTCATCAAAATATGCAACATACTAAAAATGTTGTAGTTACTAGAAATACTGCATACTTCAGTAGAAGTATGAGTGCTAGAATAATAACATTGAATAATATTTGAATAATTTAAGAGGATTTCTAGTACTCAAAAGTGCAAATTAAAGAATCATTCTTGAATGTTCATGTCTATATGCCCTGTCAAGAGAAAAAAAATAAAAATAAAATAAAATCTCCTGCAGGTCCATAAACAACACAGTGTTGAAGTAATCTAAGGTGTTTGAATTTTAGAACATTTCTTGAATTTTCCATCAACACTGTTAAACCATCAATGATTCATAACTTACAAATAACGAATATTTCATACTAAAATGGTTTAATTTGAGTTCGTATATCATGTTCATTATATGTTCAGGCTCTAAAGCCTTAATGAAAGCGACCATGGATAATTTACCTCAGATCTTGAAAATAACTTAAAGGAAACAAAAACGTTCAAACTTTGAACTCTGTGTGAGCAATTCATTGTATTCCATGACAGACTGTATCAGTCACTGAGTATGTATTTTGAATAATGCTAAAATCGTTTAATCATTCATAATTTGATTGTGTACTTACATATTTCGTTGCCGTGCGTTTGCAGCATAGGTTTGCAGAGAGAACCCCACGCATACGCCCTTCTGATTGGCTGTAATTTATCAATTCGATTATTAATATAGTTTATACATTTATATTTAAAAAAATAGATAATTTAAATTCATATATGTATTTATTTACTTATTTTTAATTTTACATTTACATTTAAATTCTGCCATTCGAAAACACAACTAAATACAAAAATAAAATCAAAGGTAAAAAGTTTAAAATAAAATAATGTGAAGAAGTACACAGATCATCTTCAATAATACAACATCTGATATTTTACAAGCATGAAGCAGCTGACGGGATTCACGACCGGAAGGTGACGTCACACGCTATAGCTCAGGTGAGGGTTGGGTTGCGCGCACGCACTCAGGACCTTTTACTACTCTCGAAGCGACATGCTGTCTGAATACACGAGAGACCTTTATTCAGCCATTCAAGAGCATTTCTGACATCTCTGGTGAGTTGATCTATGTTTTTGGGCGAGTTGCAATAATATTTGTTTAGCCTAATTTAGTAGAATGAAAGACTTAAATACTTAATTAGATGCTAGTCTTTTCTGTAAATGTGTATTAGCGTGTTTGTTCAGGGTTTGCTGTGAATCCCTGTGTATGTATCGATCAAGAAAATAATGAATTTAAGAAGAAACGACAACGAAATAGATGCCTAATACGCAATATATATTATATTTCCACATTTAAAACGGCTCCAAAAGTATTGGAGACTTAAAAATGTCTAAATGTCATTACATTTGATACAAAATATCAGACCAAGTTGCATTAATTTTGAAGCACAATAGCATAAACATGAGTCTGAAGCATTTTGAATGATAAGACAATGTAGGGGTTGTTCAGAATGAGGATGAAAAGTATTAACTTTGTGGTTGTCAGATGATGCTGTTCATAGTTAATGTGATGAAATTCACCTTTGGTTACTTTAGTAAGACACCTGTGAGGACTTCGTATACACTAAAAATCACCAGTTGATTAAATGTAATTGCAAAAATACCTCAGAAAAACATTTGTGTGATATTTTGTTGTCTAATGCGTTGAAATAGACACATTTTAAGCAGGGCCACTGTAATGTGAGACATATCACACTTAAAACACTGAGATAAACTCAACAGCTTCTCAAGTCGTGCTCAGACTTGCCTGAACGCTAGAAGGGAATGCTGCTTTTTCACGCCCGTCTGTTTACCCAAGTCTTCATGTGGTGCACTTACTCACTTACCTGCACTTTCAGCCTGAATACAATTTTTTGTTACTGTCTTGATATGCAAAATATATGCTATAGTAGTGCTACGATTGCATTTTTGTTGTTTTTGTTTTACAAAGAGCTTTAAGCTTTAACTGATGAATGCCACCTCCAGCATTCACAATAATAAAGCATATTTGTTTCAGCGAATTGAGTGAACAAAGGCCTAACCCCATGAACTGGGTGTGCTTTCCAACGTAAAAGTGTTTCGCAATAACAGTGACACATGGAGTGTCATTGGAAAGCTGCAGGTTAATGAATCACTGAGTGTTAATTCAACCTGAACCACTTGAATACTCAGGAACCATTATCTTAAAGGTCAATTAAAAAGGCCTATATTTATACTCGAAGCTGGAATTACCAGTTGTGCAAATTAGCAGTATGACATAACAGATATTAAACTGATTTTCTAGATTTAACCTTTGTAATGCATGCAGTGTCATGAGGGTCTACAGATATGCTGTCATTGATATCATTTCCTGTTTCCTGTTTTGTTTGCTTTGTGCATGTTGTTTGTACCTTTGAATTTGACAAAAAAAAAATAGAATAAAATAAAAATAAGATAATAAATTAAATTTCAGATATTTAAAACATTTTATAATAATAATAATAAAATATGTCAGACTGCTTTGGGTTTACTTTTCAAGAATTGCATTACTTTAATGAGGCCTTTTTTGCTTCATTATGATATCAGGGCAACTGTGTAACCCGGACAGTTTTTACTTCATTTCCCCAAAAATATTACAGATATTTTTAATTCATTTCTTCATCAATCTTAGAAGAGCTGCATTTAGGTAATTTTATTTACAAATTGAATTAAAATGTTATGATTTCATTAATTTATAATAATTTTTATAATTTTTTTAAATTATAAATTACTAATAAAAAAATTAGTGCCTCGATTTATTATTTCAAACCTTTTTAAAAATTATAATCATTATTAGTAGTTTATAGTTAATGCTACAGATATATCATTATATATATATAAGTTAGGTAGCAATAATTAAGTATTTTAATAAATAAATAAGTACCTTAATTATTATTATTATTATTATTATTTTACAGTTAGTGC